CGTTGTTAGTATAAATCTACTAGCGTACTATCATGAACGCCGTTCTCTGATTGGCTGCGCTACTCACTATTCTGTGATAGTCAGTAGTGTAGCAGTGTCCCCTTGTTATCAATAACGGCCACTTCTTTGCGTTTTCGAGGTGTCTGTGAAGAGGATTTAGACAAAGTTTTGAACGACTAGTAGATTTATACTAAAACAACCAGATTATTCGCTCTCGATTTCTATACGTGATAGTTGACTCAGGCTGCGCCCCGCGATAAAAATCTCGAGCTCATAATCTAATTGTTTATTAGAATGCAGTGACTGTCAGTTGTCAACGAAATGTTGGCGTTTTCCGACTTGTCCGTCAGTCTTGTGTGAAANCGATAAAAATCTCGAGCTCATAATCTAATTGTTTATTAGAATGCAGTGACTGTCAGTTGTCAACGAAATGGTGGCGTTTTCCGACTTGTCCGTCAGTCTTGTGTGAAAGGATTTCTCCAGCCAACTGTGAAATGATGAGGATGAAATAAAAATATACAGAGAGAATAATCACTGAGGCTTTCTTTTTATGTATGAAACCTTTGATATCTCTTTCCTGAAGCTTTGAAACCTGAGGTAAACATCAAAATATCAATTCTCATAATTGCGTGGCATAACTTTCCTAACGATCAGTTCTGACAATTAGAAAGTACATCAAGACAATAATTATAAGCTCCAATATATTGAGCCGTATCGTTATTCTCATTATTTTAATAACAACATGAAAATCTATTAAAATTGTAAGGTGTTAATCACTTGTTAAAAAAAGTTCACAAAGACGAACTCAAGCTATTATAAGCCAGGTTAACTGGTGTAATTCTTAAAGGACCTAGTCAGTCTTCGCCATTTTTGATGTTATCGAAATTATTGATATTGCATGGTGAAGCGAAATCTTGTTGTTTCACTGTGAGTTGTGTTCCTGAAAGTACGTTTAATTATATTTAGTAGTTTCACAGTGACTTCCTTCGTTTCGACATGCTCCGAATAAAATATAATAGC